CTTTCTAAATAAATTATTAATCACGCTTACTACTTGTCGCCTATTTTATAAAGATTGGTTTGCAGTTGGATTTATTTTGACATTATCTAGCTAAACTAGTTTTGACAGAAATTTAGTCGGCAATTAACAAAGTATGACGAGATAAAATGGGACTCTCAACCCGGTTCATTTAAATATATGCGAAATTGAATCTATATTTATATATATATATAGTTGTTGACTTAACATTAAATAAAATTCATTTAACTATACTTACGTGACATTTTCTCGCCAAAAGCGGTTACTAATCAGCATTGATTATTTTTTTACACTAATTACATAATCAGATCAGAATAAATTTTATTGGCAAAAATCAGGATAATCCAATTTTTAAGGAATGTTTACCAAACATCTTAAAAATTTTAATTATCAGAATAATTTCAATTGACTTTAGTGGTATAACCAAACATCTTCAAATTTCATAAATAATAATAATAATAATACTCTCTAAAATATTTAATAGGTTAGTGTCTCTCAAATTTATGAAAATTATATTATCCATTTTATTTTATTTTATAAAATTAATATCGTGATGAAGTTTAATACTTTTATAATGTCCACTTTTACTAATGACAAATTTTTTAAAATGTGATACTATTATCTAACTTACAAATTTAATATTATATACATACATATAACTTGTGATAATTTAAATATATGTGCATGTGCACATGATAGAATACTAGTTGAGATAAAAATGTGTTCTTAACAGTTATTACAGCGGTCTTCAATGATCTTGAAATCTCAAATGATACCATACCACATCGGCTTTTAGCTGGAAACCTTACTATCACCATTAGTATTTAATCCATTAAAACACACACACACACACACACACAACTAGTTGATATCTAGACTTTGATGGAGTTATGCAGTTATTTAATTTGGTTACTTTTTGCAACAGGTTAGCCCAGGGCTTTATGGGGATAACTATCCTAGGTTCTTCACTTATTGGACTGTAAGTAAATGGATTCTTGATTAATCTTAGAAGCTAAGGAAAAATTTATATGGAATTAATAATATATGCTCATATATCCTAGTTTAATCATTTAGAGCAAGCAGGCCAGGCATGCGAATAATTAATACGTAAATTAAAAGTATGAAAAAGAAAAACAATGAATTAAATAAATATAGATTAATGATGCAAATTACTCGTGCCTACAGAGTGATGCGTATCAAGCGACGGGGTGCTATAATCTGCTGTGCTCAGGTTTTGTTCAGACCAACAATAAAATAGCAATTGGGGCAGCAATTTCACCAACTTCATCATATAATGGTGGTCAATTTGACATTAGCTTACTAATATGGAAGGTACGTACTTCCTACTTATGCATTTACACCTACCACTCTCGTAAATATGAACATAAAGAAGATCTAGGAATTTTAAAAAAATATTATTACTATTATTAGTGAATTGTCTTGAAAGCAAAGATAAAATTAAATATATTATTTTATTTTGATTCATTTGTTTTTCGTTATCATATTAATTGTTTAATTTGAATGAGTTGAGAACGTTGGGCACTGCGAATATATATTATATAGTGCAGGGGTAGGGAAAAGAAGGTTTGGGACTGAAACTCCTTTAAATCATGCGTGCACGTTCATCATCAATCAAGCACGCGCGTGGCGTTTAATTTGGATATATATATATAACAACAATACCCTATTATCAACAACACTGCATTTTTTACAATTGCTTAATTCCATTGGACACACAATTATTTTGCCTTGTGCCTTTTGCTGCTTTTGAGATATTCTTCATACCCTTCTTTTGCAAGCAAAGCAAAGCTATATATGCGATCAATATCCCACACATCCCCACATTTTGTAGCTTTTCATTATTTTGCTACGTATTACTTATATATATATATATTCCAATTTTTTTTAAATGAAAATTAGTTTCTTCACATGATTATTATCGACACATATGAGATAAAAGTGTAACTAGCTCACTAGATAAGCTGCAATTTAAATAAATGCATAAATTAATAATTTTTTATAATTAACTCACATACGTAAATATAATAATTTTTTTTTCAATGATCCAGGATCCCAATCATGGAAATTGGTGGTTGGAATTTGGTGATGGGAATTTAGTTGGGTATTGGCCATCTTTTTTATTTACGCATCTTAGAGATCATGCAAGTATGGTCCACTTTGGGGGTGAAATTGTTGACAGTCAAAGTACAACAACAGGTCATCACACGACAACTCAAATGGGGAGTGGACATTTTGCAGATGAAGGGTTCGGAAAAGCGTCTTATTTCAGAAATATTCAAGTTGTTGATTCGGATAACAGTTTAGTCCCTGCCTCCAATCTTCAGGTTTTGGCCGATCATCCAAATTGTTATAATGTTACTTGTGGGAGTAATAATGCTTGGGGACAGTATATTTACTATGGGGGACCTGGGAAAAATTCCAACTGTCCCTAAAATTAAATACACAGCATATACCATTTTTATTTTTATTTTTTTCATTTTGAAACCCCCATTTTCCAGGTGATGATAATTAAGTAGCCAGGTATTTTCCGTCAAGATGTTTTATTCATCTTGAGTTATTCTTTCTATTTATATTTCTTTCTCAGAAATTATCAAATTATAAATATAAGTTATGCCACTCTAGTGTGTAGTGTATATAAAAAAGTTATATAGAAGCACGATGCACCGTGTTTGTAGTTTTCGTCATTATTACCAGATTTCGTGTCAATCTGGATATGGATCTCATGAAATGTTGAGGTTCAACTCAATTAATTTGCGTTAGATCACTTAACTCGAATTCGCAATCTAATTGCGCTTCAATGATGTTAAACATGAAAGTGCTAAAACTTGAACGAAACGCAAACAAAGAAGTCAAACATGTAAGGCTAACATAAGTAGTCAAACACGAACATTCAATTCCTAAATGGCCGATCGCCTAAAGAAGTCCCGACCTTTACACTTGATATGCACGAGGTTAACTAACTAATTACCTTAGACTAAAAAATAAAAACTTTAAGTGACGCAAAGCTTCCTTGTTGGGATAGTGATATTTTTCCATGGTTTATTAGTGCATGGAGTTTTCTTATTCGGTTTTCTTTTCCTGTTGTTCTTTTAAGTCGCCTATTACTTATAAAGGCGCGTTTCTTAGTTTGGTTCTTATTAGCAATTTTATTAGTTTTTCTCTTAGGTGACGTGGCCTCCTGGCATTGGTCATTATGGCTTAAGCTCACATACTTCACGTACTTAAGAGAGCTTCACTCTCATTTTGCTCTGTAATTCAATTTCCAGATATTAAAGAAAATTTCCCAAATTTATTCTTTGAGCTCTTAGCTCTACATGGTATCAAGAGCAGGTCATAAATGGCGCGCAATGGCGACGGAAACGGAGGACGAGATACAACGATCTCGAGATACGCACGCGATTTCGATCCGCTTCAGCTTCACGGTTCAGATCATCCAAGAATGGTGATGGTGAGCAATCCGCTCAATGGATCTAACTATCTTAACTGGAGTCGCGCTATGAAATTAGCTCTCGGAGCTAAATCCAAACTAGGTTTCATCTACGGTACAGTCACGATTCCAGATCTGAATTCAGAGGACTATGAGCAGTACCAAAAGGTAGAGTTTATGGTGATGTCCTGGATGTTGAACTCGATTTCGAAGGAAATTGTAGAAGCTTTCATGTCGGTGAAGAGTTCAAAACAGCTATGGGATGAATTGGCCGAGAGATATGGAGAAAGCAATGGCCCTCTCAAATATCAACTGAAGAAGGAGATTTCGAATTTTGCTCAAGGTAACCTCACTGTCACAACCTACTATACGATGTTTAAATGCCTTTGGGATGAATATGCTTGTTTGGTGGCTCAACCTGAATGTAATTGTGGTGCTGAAAAGGCTTACAGTGATAATGATTCAGAAAGCAAGGTTATGGAGTTTTTAATGGGGCTGAATGATGTGCATGAACCGGTTAAGAACCAAATATTGTTGATGGAACCTTTACCTCATAAACAAAACTTACTCTATGATTTTGAAAGTGGAGAAACAAAAAAATGTTTTCAACTCAAGCCTAGAAGGCATGGATAGTTATGTTATGTTGGTCAAAGGAGGATTTGGGAGAGGTGGACCAAATATTGGAAGCTTTGGAAGAGGATCTGGTGGAATTGGAAACTATGGGAGAGGTGTTGCTGGTAGAGGTTCATTTGGACCAAATTACAATAGTAAAGGGAGGGGTAGAAGCCAACCCAGGCTCTCTAAAGAGGAAAGAGCTAAGCTGTTCTGTGAGCACTGTGGCTACAATGGACATGATGTCCAAGGATTTTTTAAACTAAATGGATATCCTGAGTGGTATAAAGATTTGAAAAATCAAAGGTCGGGTCAGCTTGCAAATATGGTAGATGATCAAAGGATAAGCAATAAGTCAAGCGATACTGATGGGGAAAAACAACTGAATATTAGTCCATTTGGTGATATCAGCTCACTGTTACAAAGAAAATTGCAAAATACATGGCTGGTCAGCAAGGTGGAGATTCATCTTCCTATACACATCACACTGACTTTTCAGGTAACATCAACCACTTTGGTTTTTCTCTGTTGGAAAACATAGAGCAACTAGCTGCATTGTAGATAATGGAGCTAGTAGGCACATTTGCTGTAATTCTGACTTGGTGGAAAGCTACAGCAATATGCATGTTCCTATTACAGTCAACTTGCCTAATGGGGCTAAAATCAAGTTGACAAGGGTTGGGAATGTGAAACTAAATGGAGAGATTATGCTGAAAAATGTGTTGATAGTACCTGAGTTTAAATACAATTTACTGTCCATTGGTCAACTCACGGAAGAAAGAAAGTTGATGTGTACCTTTGATGAACAGGGATGTTGGCTGCAGGACCTTGAAAAGAAAAGATCATTGGCACAGGGTGTGATTCTTGGAGGTCTATATATCATTAAAGGGAAATCTTGTCTGGTAAATCAAGTAAAGGGCAGCAACACTGATATTCAGAAATTGGAATTGCGGCACAAAAGGCTGGGGCATAGTTCCATCTCTTGTCTGAAGCACATTACTTTTCTGAAGGAGCTTTGTAGTGGACAGAATGTACAACGTTGTGACACATGTCATAGAGCAAAACAAAGCAGGCTACCTTTCAATCTCAATACAACAAGGGCAGAGAGCATGTTTGACCTAATCCATGTTGATGTGTGGGGACCTTGCCATGATGAATCCATTACACATGTGTCTTACATGTTGACAATAGTGGATGAAAAACCAGAGGAACTTGGATATTTCTTATGAAGTATAAGTCAGAGACATTTATCCATTTCTTGAGATGATAAGGGTTCAGTTTGGAAAACTTGTGAAACAAGTCAGAACTGACAATGGGTCTGAGTTTCTGGGACATGAAGTGCAACATCTATTCAAAGAAAGGGGGATCATACATCAAAGAAGTTGCCCTTACACTCCTCAATAGAATGGCATTGTTGAAAGAAGGCATAGAACTATTCTTGAAATTGCAAGGTCTTTACTCTTTCAGTCACATTTGGATAAGAAGCTTTGGCCTTATACCTTACTCACTGCAGTGCATATCCTCAATTCTTTGCCAAGTGCTGTTTTGGGGTGGAAAGTACCATATGAGATGCTATGATAGACAGCCAGACTATGAGAAATTTAAGGTGTTTGGATGTTTGGTGTATGCTTGCAGACATGATCCAAAAAGGAAAAAGTTTGATACTAGAGCACAAGCTTGTGTTTACCTGGGCAATGTGGGTGGAGTTAAAGGTCACAGGCTGTATGACTTAAAGGAAGAAACTGTGTTTGTCACAAGTGATGTTACATTTTATGAAGATATTTTTCCATTTCATAAAGGAACCTCAGAGAATATTTCACAACCAGTTTTACCAAGAACCTTTGATGATCTAGAGGAAGACATTGTACTTGACAGCAGAACAGAACCTTCTCTCACCAATGAGGGACATCTTCTAACTGAACAGATTAAGTCTACTACACTTGACATTGAAGGAAAGAGGGTAAGGAAGCCACCAGCTTGGTTGCAAAATTATGTGACTCACACCAGTCATGATGACTCATTTCAGAAGCAACATGGTCTATTCATGACAGAAGTTGAGAAGACTGAAAGTGAGCCTTTATTCTATGGCCAGGCAGCAAAGAACCCTAAGTGGGTTTCTGCTATGCAAAAAGAGTTGGAAGCCTTGGAAGTGAATCAAACCTGGAGACTCACCAAACTGCCATATGAAAAAAAAGCTATTGGATCAAAATGGGTCTATAAAATTAAAAGGAATCCAGATGGATCCATTGACAATATAAGGCAAGGTTAGTAGCAAAGGGATACTTGCAAGTTGAAGGAGTTGATTTTAGAGAAAGCGTCTCACCTGTAGCAAAGTTGGTGACTGTCAGACTCTTGATTGCCCTAGCTGAGCAAAATGGTTGGAATTTACACCAAATGGACATCAACAATGCTTTCCTTCATGGGTTCCTTGAAGAAGAAGTCTACATGTTGCCCCCTCAAGGATATCTAAAAGCTAAACAAGGAGAAGTTTTCCTTTTGCAGAGAAGCCTCTATGGATTGAAGCAAGCTTCTAGGCAATGGAACCTGGAGTTCTCAGAAAAACTTCTTACATATGGTTTTCAACAATCTACACATGATCATTGCTTGTTTGTGAGACAGTCTTCATCAGGATTCCTGGCTCTTCTCATTTATGTGGATGATGTTCTCATCACTGGCACTTCTGCTGATGATATACAGCATCTCAAGTCCTACTTGGATAAACTTTTCACTATTAAGGACCTGGCCTTGCTAAGTATTTTCTTGGTCTTGAAATTGTCCAAGTTAGTCAAGGTGTTCATCTTACTCAGAGGAAGTACATTCTGGACTTGGTGAAAGATCTTGGTCTCCAAGATTGCAAGGCTACTGTTACTCCCTTCCCACAAGGTCTAAATCTTTCCACTCATCAAGACTCTTCTCTGGTTGACCCTGAATCTTATAGAAGGCTTGTGGGTAGACTCTTGTACTTGAATTTATCTAGACCTGATGCATCCTATGCTATCCAACAACTTAGTCAGTATATTAAAGCACCATTGGATAGTCATTGGTCAGCAGCATTGCATTTGGTGAAATATTTGAAGGGCAGCTGCACAGTTGGTCTTTATTATCCTAGAGCCTCCAACAGCTCCCTTCAAGCTTTTTGTGATGCTGACTGGGGTACTTGTGCCATCACAAGGAAGTCCATCACTGGTTACTGCATTTTCTTGGGTGATGCATTGATCTCATGGAAGACAAAAAAACAGAAGACAGTGTCCAAATCTTCTGCAGAAGCCGAGTATAGGGCTATGGCTACAACGGTCTGTGAGCTGCAATGGATTGTTGGGATTTCTGGCGACCTACACTTGCCAGCCTCTGCAACACCCCGCTAACTAGGGCCAGATTTTTGCAAATTTTATCTCTTTCGAAAACGCTTAAAAATTTTTCGAAAACATTTGCAAACTATCTCGGGATGCTGCTAAGAACTTTCCTGTTTAAAAACCCGTTTCTTTAACCTAGGTCTAATGACTGGATTAGACTTTAAGAAATCAGGTTTATGTTTTTACGAATCATGCATATTAGTCTGGACCCGTTCGTACTGGCGAACCG